GTTTACGAATCGCCATCATCCCATTCAGTGGGGGAATGTGAGGCCAGCCCTGAATACTGCTCAGCCCCAGTCCTGGCAAGCAGAGGAGCAGAGGTTGCACCCTCAATACATGCTTTGGACAGGCGGCAGGAAGAGTTTCTGCCTGACCTTATTCTATTTTGCCAAAATTATCTCTTGGACCACAGCATCTGGATGCTCCAGGCAGCATCAGGGCACCGCATGCTGCACAGTGACGCATGGGAAGACACTGTTCCTGCCGGGAGAAATCAGCCCTCTGTGGAATAAGCCATGTGAGCAGAAGGCAATCGCTGGCCAGGTTCAGCCTGCAGTGCCTCAGCAAACACATCAATGGTAATGAGAACCACATTGTTCCAGAATGCGGCGTGTTCTTGAAATGTTTAATACCACCACTACTTAATAAGAGTAAATAAACAGTGTAGTTGGCAAGGTGCATGCAGGAGGGCCAGAGGCTGGGAAACAAACAGAAGCCGTTCTATCTGAGTTAAGCCTGGCTCCTATGGCTGCCATAGGCACATGTTTGTTATTCATTTGTAGAGAGAGGGTGGGAATGGCAGCTGAGAGATGGACCAAGGCTCAGAGCCTGAGTGCCTGTCCCAGGAGGGTGGGAGCATCTCTGCCACTAGATCAGGGCAAGAGGGGAGGACCTCAGCTGTGTCTGAGCCATGCAGCAAGTGAATGCAATGGGAAGGGTACCAGATGGCATCCTTATGCCTAGACTGCAAGTCTCCAGCCTCAGCTTGTGGTGACCTGGGGCCCAGGTGGTCCTGTGAGCTGGAAAGGACAGAGGAGCTCTTCTGTGCCGCCTGTAGCTAATGGGGAGCTCTGCCCTGGGCTTCAGACCAGGTCTAAAGGTAGTGATGCAACTCACTGTCACTGCTCTTGTCTCTGCACATTTCTCATGACAATCCAAGTTCTATTTTTTTTTTTCCCTTGCTTCTTGTGCACTAGCCAACATTTTACAGATGATATCTTGATTCCAACTACGCATTAAATAGCAATGTGTGGGAGCCATGAGGAGATCTGACCTATGTATTCCCAGAAGCCTCTCACGTCTGGCTTGCCTGGCTGGTTCTGGTTAAGGTATGGAAAGCGTTTCTCATGCTGTGAAAATCCCTATCCCTGAAACAATACCTATCTTGGTATGAAGAATTTAGAACCAACAGCAACAAGAATGAGGCTGGAGCAAGGGATGTTGCCGGCTGAGACACCCAGTGTAACCAGGGATGAGTTCTGCAAAGGACAAGGAGGTCCCTTCACATCTGACATTGTTTTTCTGGTCTCAATGCAAGAAGGGTCTAATAACCACTCCAGCGATGATCCTGATTCCTAATGTCAGTGCCTTCCACACCAATCTACAGCCCCTTTTTTTCTTCAACGCACCTGAAACAGCTGTTCTCACCTTCACTTGCCTGCAGACTGTAACCCCAGGTCTGAGAGTTAAATGGAGTTTCCCCCTCGTCCACCACGGCCAAGAGGAAAGCTCCTGTCTGGAAGGTTTGCCTGCAGTTATACTTAGAAATGGAACCAACAGCTCCCAGGAGGAGCATATGGCGTTTCCTAACTGGGGCACGGTGAACAGATTGGCTGCTGCCATGCAAGGAAGAGCAGAGCTACTCTGCTTCTGCAGCTGCACATTCATGCTAAAGGTGCTCAAAGAGTATTTTGCTAGTACCTCCGACTGCATGCACACGACAGAGCTGCTCAGTTAGAAGATGCTGTGGTAGCCCTATCTCAGAGCTGTGGGGCTGGCGTGCCGCTGCTCTGTACCCTGTCTGCCTGCTGCACAGTCAGTGGAATACTCAGAGCACTGCTCAGCTGCATGGAGCTTGCCAAGTTTCTCTGTGTTTCTGAACGCATGTTCTGCCTGTGATACCAAGGAAACTGCCTTCCTCCACTTCCACACTCCTACATGAGATCGCACCCAGTATGACACACATCTGAGTAGTTGTGCAAATGGCAGGTAGAATGTTCTTCTCCACTGGCCTTGCACCAGTTCCTGGACAACAAATTCCTGAGTCCGAAAACCGCCTGGTTGAATGAAACCTAAGCAGCACTGTGAGAGAAACACAAGGAGGTGCTGGCAGGGCGGCGCTGGGGACAGGTCTCACCCAGCCCTCTGTCAGCTCATTTTACTTCACATCCCTTCACCAAGCTTCAAAAGCAAACTTTAGGAGGGTGCTCCCTTTATCCCAACTGTGCTACATTGCTGCATGTGGGGGTTCTCTTCCCACAGCCATGTGTCCTTGGGAACCTGCCACTTGTCACCGTGCTGCCCTGCTCACATGTACCGAGCGGTGCGTGGCCAGCAGCCACACGCTCAGCTCAGCTCAGTCTGTGGATTAGGGCTCTACATCAGGTTACCACCGCTCACCGAGTTTCCATGAGTCAGCTTAGCCCAGGTTTCTGCCTATCCATGTGCTTTCAGCCCATGGCAAATGCAAAGTAATACGACTTAACTTAGTCTGCTATACAAGAAAACCAGGCTAAGCCCCAGCGTTACACGTTTTCCATCAGCGAGAAGGGCACAGCTCAGCTCATGGGGGCTGGGGATGGGTGAGCACGTTGTGTGCCCCCAGGCACTGCTTCTGCACACAGACCTCTTCCAGCCACAGGAGCCATGCACTTCTGGCTTAGTGTTTTAAGCTGCAGCGTCCTGAAAATGGGGACGTCATGCTTTCTAGCAGAGACCAACACAGGACATAATGCCTCGGCAATAACGTAAAAATCCTAAAAGCTGCTAAGAAGAACAGCACAGAAACATTCACTGCTTTGAACTCAAAGGTCTCCAAATAATGTCAGAACAGATCTTTCCTTGGCCCCTCTCAAGCTCACAACACACACATGCTGGTTTTACAAGGGCTGCAAGTAACACAAGCCATGGACTTTGCTTGGCATCTTCTGGCCCAGAACTTGGCAAGTTGGGAATGCTGAAAAAATGGGACTGGCGTTTTCTGTGGATAGAGTCTAGAAGCTGAAAGTACTCATTAACTCATTTGGATGATGCACGAGTGAAGGTTACCTTTTCCACACACAAATACTATTAGACAATGTGTCTACAAAACTGAGAGGTGACATGCAATAGCACATACAGTCTGCTAGCCTACCTGTCCAGAAGTACTTTTAACTGATCTCTTGAAAGCATCTATCTTGCTGTGTTATCTTATATGGGGCGTGTCATAAGCAAGTGTAGAGTCTTGCATCTGGGGAGGAATAATTCCATGCACCAGTACAGGTTGGGGGATGACCTGCTGGAGGGGAGCTCTGCGGAAAGGGACCTGGGTGTCCTGGTGGACGACAGGTTGGCCATGAGCCAGCAGTGTGCCCTTGTGGCCAAAAAGGCCAATGGCTTACTGGGGTGCATTAAAAAGAGCGTGGCCAGCAGGTCAAAGGAGGTGATCCTCCCCCTCTACTCTGCCCTGGTAAGACCTCATCTGGAGTACTGCGTCCAGTTCTGGGCTCCCCAGTACAAAAAAGACAGGGATCTCTTGGAAAGAGTCCAGCGGAGGGCCACGAAGATGGTGAAGGGCCTGGAGCATCTCCCCTATGAGGAAAGGCTGAGTGAACTGGGTCTGTTCAGCCTTGAGAAAAGGAGACTGAGAGGGGACCTGATCCAGGTCTATAAATATCTAAGGTGTGGGGGGGCAGAATGGCGAGGCCGGACTCTTTTCAGTGGTGAGTGGAGACAGGACAAGGGGAAACGGCTGGAAACTGCAGCATAGGAAGTTCTGCACAAATGTGCGCAAGAACTTCTTTACAGTGAGGTGACGGAGCACTGGAACAGGCTGCCCAGGGAGGTGGTGGAGTCTCCTTCTCTGGAGATGTTCAAGACCTGCCTGGATGCCTACCTGTGCGACCTGCTGTAGGGAACCTGCTTTGGCAGGGGGGTTGGACTCAATGATCTCTGGAGGTCCCTTCCAACCCCTGCAATTCTGTGATTCTGTGATTTTGTTTTCAAAAGGGTTGTAAAAGCAGTAATGACTGCAAACGTTAATGGCAGCAAAGCAGAAAGCCCCAATGCTGTGTGCAGCACCACAGTTTTGCTGCTCTGAGGCCTGCAGATGCTCCCATAACCAGTTCAGCTACTGCTCACTTTGAAAATACACACAGATGCAGGGAAAGAAAGGGACAGTAAATAGTTTAAAACAGTACCAATCATCATCAGTAGTCAGGTAAAAGAATAACTTTAGTTCAGTCTGTAAATGTTTATACAATACTTTCATCTCCAGCTAAGATCTCTGCAGCTGTAAGCTACCTCTCACTCTTCCAGACCTCGTGAGCTGTGGAAAGCATTACATCTCCACTGGTCTGCAGTCACACTGCAGGCTGTGCTCTCACACACACTCTGTACAGCACCAACATGTGAAATTTCCAAACTACCAAGAAAACCAAACTGAGATGAGGTTCTGGGCCAGAAACGTCTCAGGAAACTGAAAAGAGATGGAATGCAGACACTTAAGTAAGATGCAAAGTTTTAAAAGTTACAATCACATTTTCAAGATTCATCCCCAGCAAATGCCAGCTTCTGTGGGCCTGGGCTGCTGGGGAGCTGGAGGCCTGCACTGAGCCTGGAGGTGCTCTGTAGAATCTCTGCTCATGGCAGCAAGTGGGGAGGTGACAGACACAGGTTTCTCCTAGGGAAAGGGAGGCTCAGGGTCTCCTTTGCAGGGTGAGATTTGTTCACAGGGTATCTGATGAGGGTCAGAGAGCAAGAGCTAAGGAACATTTTCATCAACTGTAAGAATCAGTGCAGAATGTGCCTGTGATGCTCAGAACAGCTGGAAGCACTAAGTATTGCAAGCTGTTCATGTCTGTGCACCTGTGTGCTTCTACCTTCTCACTTTTCCCCACACCCCTCTGCTCAGGATTTTAATTAGTGCCACGGCAATAAACTTTCGGTTGGCTTTCTGCAGTCCTTTGAGACAAAGGTGTGTGCCTGAACATATTTACTGAGTGTAATTAGCCACTCACAATCGTTTTGGTACAACTGATTAGCAATGCCATTTTCAATTTATTTTCATTTTATTGTAATATGCTTTGCATATTCAACCTGGCAAAGGAAATGATCATGAGAAATTAAGCCTTGGAATTTCTTCTCTCTTAGTTGTATATGCTACCTAGTGTTCAACAAAAAATTATTCACACTGCTACTTTTTCATGACTTCTAGTTAGTGAATCATCATCTGCAGAGCAGACTTATTTTACTTAGTTTATTTTAAATTAAGACTACTGGGGATTAGCATCTACAAGGTCACTTGACAAAACGCCAACCTTGCCTGTCAGGCAAAGGTCACACTGCCAAGCTCACGGCTCCCCATGGCTGCGCGTTGCCCACATGGACACCTCGCCAGCAGGATCACAGAACAGCCTTCAGCTAATGACAGATTAACGCCAATTCAGTCAGCGTAATGCCTCCAGTCACTAAAGCCTTTCTGTTGCAGCAGCACTTGTACAGTTACCAAGAAATCCCATGTCTGCGTCCTAGCTTGGGAAGCAGCAACTCTGACCGAAGGATAAAGGTTTGCAGCAGCAAATTTCAGAACTCCTGCATCCAGGCGAAAAGATAAACATTCAACATTTCTCTCAGAGCTGATCTTTTTTTTTGTTGTTTTGTTTTAATTTTTATATATATAAATATACCATAAAGCGTACCATTTCCTTGTTTTAGTACAGACTTTTGAACTTCACTGCAATGAAGGAAATATAAATGCTACAATCTTATGCTTAAAACAAGTTTTGATGACAGCCTTCCCCAAGGAGCAGGCCTGGAAACTGCATTAGCTATGTGGAGAGAGACAAAAACACCCCCAGAATGTCGTGCTACACGAGAACATTCCAAATAGCTGGTTTTCTTCGGTTCTAGCCGCTCGCAGGTGTACATCAGTTCCTTGGCTGAATGCCCGCTCTCCTTAGCAGAAACTACTTTATTACTAACCTGAACATTTCACATTCAACATGTATCTCCCTTAAATTCGTTGTCAATACCCCGTTTTTAATATCCATGTCTGCCTTTGCTGACCCCAAATGGCAAGAGGTATCGTCAGTTGTGGATTTTGGGATCAGGACTGCAAATTGCTGGATTTTCAGATAAAGCCATGTGAAATGAGCCGCTGTAAACCAAGTAAAAACTGTTGATTGCATTATTTTTTTTTTCTCCTCCTTCTCCTTTACAACACTGAAAATGTTCACAGCATTGAAACAATGAAGCGTAGGTGCAGGGGTGCAGACAGTGCAGCCCTCACCAGTCGTGCACATTCATCATCCTGTCTTTGAGCTTCACTGGTGCCTCCTGGGCAGGAGAGGAGATCCCAGGAGAGTCCTACCCCATCATAACCCTCTTGTTTCAATCTCTGCTACACTTCCAGGTCCTCTGGGTGAATACTCAGCTACTAAGCAGCAACCCAAAACCTGTCATTATGTCTTGTTGCCAAGGGTTTGTTGTTGGTTTTGTCCTTCTCAAGTGTACTTTCCAAAACAGACACGTTAAAAAAAAAAAAATCTTTAAAACAATGATAACACCACAATATCTGTTTAAAACAGTACTGCTCGTGCTCTGGACAAATTGTAAAGAGCAATTCAGCATTCTTATAATTAATCCACAACAAAAGAAGCTATAAGATGCCACAAAAGAAGGCATAATTGGCCATACAGAGGCAACACTACCATGAATGTTGTTTGGCAAGGAAAAAAAAAAGCGGATACATAATTCATCCAAAGACTGGGTTCAGAATTGCCCGGCGCTGCTGGGATCACACTGCAGGAGTCTCACTATTGATGGGTCACTCTTGGCGCCTCGGATGAACTCTTCTAGGGAGAGTTTTCCTAGAAAAGAGACACGTTGACTTAGCACCCATGGACGGCCACCGCACACCTGCCAAGCCTGCAGAGAAGAGTGGTGGAAGGAAAGTGGCAGGGAGCAAGGGAAATCCCTGGGGGTGCATGGCAGGTGGGTGCTTTCTCAGAATGCTGGTTTGGAAGAAGGACGGAGAGAGGATGGTGGCTGCACCCGCAGAGGAGCACTTTCTGTGGGCGCCTGTGCTGAGCAGTCAGAAGCACTGATCAGGTGAGAAGACATGGGGTCACATCTCCCCCAGCAACATCTTGTTCCTGATGCCTTAGAGAAAGGCAGGAGTGTGCCCAAATCCTCCTACTCTGAGGTAGGGTTGAGCTAAGGCCAAACATTCAAGCCCTGGTTATGATAGAGGTGAGACTGAGTCACCTGAGAATCTCACACAAGGCTTGTTTCCTTCCACAGACCATGGAGAGACCTCTCCTTTTGAAAAGAGGCCACAGCCACACTGATTTTTCCCATAGTTCAATAATTTCTTTTTTTTCTTTTCTTTTCTTTTTTTTTTTTAGGAAATACCACTTACTTTCATACAAAGTAGTGAGAAGATGAGTTGCATGTCAGAAATGTAGGGAAGTTTCACTTGTTTTGGATTCAACAACCACTCTACCAGGTGAGAGCAGACAACAAGGGCAAAGGTTTTTAAAAACCTGAAATACAGGCAAATCAATGCTCGACTCCTCAGTGGAAAAACTTAGGTGTTTATTCTGAGACTATCATCTCCTAGTGTGAAATCAATGAACTGACAAGAAAAAAAAAATCGTGTGAAACATTAAAGACCTGGATGTGGGTTTCTGAGCAGTGTTTCTGAGCATCACACAGCCCTAAGTCCCAGAGACAGCAGGGCAGCCTGCCTACAAAGGGGTGAGGAGAAATCCTTAGGCACCATGGCTTTGCCCATAAGGCTAGAGCAGGAGCAGTGAGGTTGAGGGGTCTGATGGCATCTTGCAGGGAGCTTACCATCACGGTTGGTGTCCATCTGGCGGAAGATCTTCTCTGTCCTTTTCTCTGGTGTTGACTCATCTTCTGGCATCTTCATTACAGAAGAAACCATCTTATAGATTGCCTGTGTGATATGACACGAGCAAAGAGCTGGTAAAAAGCACATTAGGTCAGTGTAGCGGTATGGTTACCACCTGGTGACCGAAACAGGCAGAAAATACCCTGGAAACATTAGCTGGGACATATTCTGTGGATGCTGAATGGAGACACAAGTACAGGCAGCTGCCCTCTTCAGTGGGATACTCATTTAGGAATTAAAGTGTTCCTTACTAGTCACAGTTAAACACAATCTCAGTTTGGACCAAGATTACATTTTGCCTTATGAGAACAGCCTTTGGATGAATTTATCACTTGGAGAGCACTTAGGCAGTAGCAGCTCCTGGGACCTGGGGAGCAGAAAGACCACCAGGGTCTGTCCCATGCTCCAGCCCACCTTCATGCTGTGGGCTGCCCAGTGCTACAGCCCGTTTCAGTCCTGCAGCCTATCTCAGTGCTGTGGCCTTTCTCAGCACTTCAGCCACTCTGGCTCCATCTTCACTTCTCCTATCCCTCACCCCACTTTGTGTACCCATCTGCCTTCTCCACCCTCAGTCAGCATCCTGCCTGTGGGAGGGCAATGACTCATCCCCACCTTTTCTGAAAATAAGGAAGGCTTGGCCAGCAATGAGATGGCCTTCTTGTGTGCCTACAGAGCTAGAAAAACACCATTCATAATTTCTTCCACACAGAACAGATGTCTTGGTCCCACCACTGTGGTTCTTTGCATGGACTGTCACATGTGATCCTAGCTGCCCCTAGAAGAGAAGCGATGTTAATTTTAAAACAAGAAGCAGTGATGGTCTCTTCACCTCATCCTCTTGCCCTGCAGGCTGAATCATTGTTGCAGGACCCAGAAGGCTCGCTGAAGCTCCTCTGCTTCACTTTCTATCCATGAAAGCACTCTGCCTGCCACACTCCAAACTTCTGGCCGAAGATCCCTAGGGAACAGCCCCAAGAGCGGTTCACCAGCTGGAGGACACTGCTGAGCAGCACGTTCTACATGCAGACCAACTAGCACCCATTGCCTCAGCCATCTCACTAGCTTCTTCTCTGAGGCAGAGCCAGCTCACCTTTCAAATTGCCTAGCCTTTAAATAACTTGAAGCATAAACACCCCAAGAAAGGCATTTATCTGTTTAATTAAATATTCATCACTTATGCTCAGCGCAGTCAAACATCTGCTCTTTCAGTTATGCCACCAAAACCGAGGCTGCAGATTTCCTCATCTGCCATCTCCTGAGACTGTAATGCTGCTTATAGATCATGGTAGAATAACAATTCAGCATGGTCAGTTGCTGGCTGAATAGGAAGGTGGTGAACATTCTTTTAATCATCATAAATTAGGCTGCGGGAATGCCCAAAGGATCCCAAGGAATTCAGGGTGCAATAGTATGAGCTGCAGAACAGACAGGGATGCTCTCCACTCAGCCTTGACTATCAGATGACCAAGAGAATAGTAGAAGGGATGAACGTGGGAGCAAGTGGACATCAGGATGAAGGAGATGCAGGAAGGAGGGAATAGAGGAAAAGAAAAAAAAAAGGAGAAGGCGATCAGTAAGAATCTGCACTTGCTTCATCCCAATCAGCATGTGAGCCTCTCAGGGGTTAGAGCAGAGATGAGGTTCATAAAGCTGCCATGTGTAAGCATCTTAGGCTGTCTAGCTTTTGTCTGAGGGAGGAAGAGGTGGAGAGGTCATTCCATTGCTCAGGGTGAGAGGACAGCAAAGCAAAGAGTCTGTATTGAAAGTGTGGGAGGAATGCCCTGGAGCAGCAGCGCAGGCGTGTTTACTTTGGTCAAAGTAACCATAGTAAGAATTTGCAGATTTTTAGGACAAAAAAAAACCTCTTCAAGATGACTTCATCCCACAGGGTCCTTTTCACAGAGGCGTGTGAAGGGAATAACAGATGAGATATTCTAGGAAAGCCAGATGGGAATAACATAGTAAGCATTCCTTTCATGCTGAAAATGGTTCCTCTGGACAAATTCTTCTGTCCTTACTCAGAAGTTCAGTGGGAAGTTTTCCCAAAGTAAAAGCCAGCTAAAACTGATTCAGAATCTAGAGATTTGCCCCAGATTAATTCATTGCAGCTACAAAGAGCTTTCTATTACTGATTTGAAAGGCGAGTCTTGAAGGAAGCGGGTTTCATGCAATAACCCTGTGGAACTTGGCTGTGCCAACCCTGGGCTGCATAATCTGGCACTGAAAGGCTGTGGGAGCTCCAATCCACATGGAGAACAATTGCTCAGCCTCACGGCACCAGTACCTGGTACACCGTGCAAGGTTTGGAGCTGGTCATTTATCAGTTCCCAGGTGGACTTCTGCCAGGAAGCCCTCTTCAGCTCCCATGCACCCCTGGATGCCACTAATCACAGGCTCCACTTTCATCCACTCTGTCTGGTTCTTCCCTGAGCTCTTCCCTGTCATGTTCCACCTGCATTTATATCATCTGCAGTGGGTGCTTTAGAGCAAGTCTCACCTCTTCACCACACGTTGCTCCCAGCTGCTGCTCAGTGTAGAGCCAGTGGCAGTGCTAAACACTGTCCAGAAATCTCTGTGAGGTCTATGATTTCTTGCTGGAGCTGGCAAAGTGTTGAAGTGCTCCTTACAGTGATGGCATGATGACAGCACAAATGTTGAGGCAATCCTTTTTCCTCAATCAAAATTAATTTGACAGCTAGAAATCTCACAAAGTGAATAAAGAACCTGAAAAAATTGCTTTCCTATTAATCTCACTGGGATTGGCAGCCCTGCACATAGCAGGAATGTTGAAACTAGATAATCATTATGGTCCTTTTCAACCCAGGCCATTGTATGATTCTATGATTCTATGATTTTTGATACTATGTTTACTGAAAGCTGTATCAGCTTCTACTTCTTCCCATATCAGCTTTTGTTTCCTCCTGGCCCAGCAGATGAAATGGGTGTACTTCATTTTGTATTAAGCTGGAAGTGTTATTCTTGCCTCTTGTCTTAGGACTCTTAATGTGCATCCCATGATTCCACACTTTGAATAAAATGCACCCCCAATGCAGGGCTTCCATATTTTATTTCAATTTTATTTGCAAGAGATTCTTGCCAAATACATCCAGTTTCAGCCAGGGGAATAAAAACAAAGCTTCTATCTGGATTGCTGTTATTTTGGAATGTTCTGAGATTTAGAATTATGGGTAAACACATGAGAGATGTGAAAAGCATTTCTAGAGCAGTAGAACCTGTAGCAAGGTCAATCAGGAGGGCAGGCTATGAAGCCTCTTCCTGCAGTACATTGCAGATGTGCTGTGACTGGCAGTAGTATTAGAGAGGCTTCAAAAGGTTCTGAACTGCTCATAGTGCTGTTAGTGGTACTAAGAAGGAAAATGTATGTAACCATCGGCATTACAGAGAAAATGGCTGTGGAGAAATAGCTTTCCAAGCACAAAGAAAACAGACTGAAAAAGATGAGAAGCTTTCCATGCTTCTTTTCCACATTATTTCAAATGCAGTAATCCCAGGGCACCCTGGAGCTGTAAGTAGGGGCAGCATTTTTCAGGGAAACTACTATTTAAATTGGTTGCATTTTTTTTCCATTCATTTTGATATATTGTCTCAAACAAGAATCTAGATGAAAACATAGTAAACTCTGCTATATCAATATGCAAATGTATGCTAGATAAGGGACTTGTAATAGGTTCCTCTGAGACATACAGCAGAGATATTACAGAGTTGTGTTTTTCACAGCCAGCAGCTGAGGGCATCCACAAAGACATTCAATACAGAATCCTGTCTTTCCATATTAAAAAAATGATCATCTTTCATAAATGAAAGTGATAGTTACTAGCTGCTTTTTTATAAAGCTGATCAGTGTACATCAACGGAGCCTCTTGATAAAGCAAGAAATGGCACTTCCTGCCTGATTTCAGATCTCAGCTGAATGTACTTTCAGAAACCATGCAACAAATCATAGAATCATAGAATCATAGAATGGCTTGAGTTGGAAGGGACCTCAAGGATCATGAATCTCCAACCCCCCTGCCACAGGCAGGGCTGCCAGCCTCCCCATTTAACACTAGACCAGGCTGCACAGGACCCCATCCAACCTGGCCTTGAACACCTCCAAGGATGGATGGGGCATCCACAACCTCCCTGGGCAGCCTGTTCCAGCACCTCACCACTCTCTTGCTAATCCTACCCAACAGGGAGGAGCTAGGGGCTCCCACTGCCTCCTACACTGCAGGTTCACTTTGAGATGCATGCAGCATGGTTGTAAAAGATAGTGCTATAATTTGATACCAAGATGATGACAAAGAAGGCCAAGCATTTCAGCCTCAAAGCACGCTGGTGAGTAGGTTTGTGGTTGCTGGGAAAAGCTGCTATTTCTGCTGGTCCCTGCTTGGATCACCACAGAGATTCCAGCCATCCATACTTCAAATTTGACATGAACACTCTTGTATCCTTGTTCTCTGTATCTGTAAACCTTCTTATTTGGCAATGTATGTTGCTACTGGGCACTTAGGCCTCCTGTAGGAGGCAGCCTTTGGTTTGTCTCCTCCCAAGCAGAAGGCACTGGCTAGGGCTGGGATCCCTTGGTCTTTGCTTTGTGTTTTCTTAGTTCTTTGGGGATTCTCTTTTTATTTTTCATATATGAGAAGCATAGCTAGAAAAAATGTATTTGGCAGCCTGTTACCCTGCCCGTGGGGGTGGAAGATTTGAAGGAATAGAGTTTCTTCTAACGCAAATATTCCACTGCACCAAGACTGGGTGGTGTCTGCTCACTCGGGGCAGCCCTGCTTCTTACCCCAGGAATTGGAACACAAAATAAAATTGGTGGAATACAACACAACAACTCTACATTTGCAACGGAGCCACATATCTGTTATTACTGAAGAAGTGTGTTTTTACAGTTTGGAGGACACTGAAAATCCTGACAGAAAGACAAGGGCATCACACATTACACTGATTCCATACACACAGCTTGCTATCACAGGCTGTAATTTGTGTGTATTCTTTTCCCTTCATTTCTAGTACAAATACAAATCTGAATAATACAGTACATAGTGAGCACTGCAAAATTCCCAATGAAATGAAGGATCTGATAACATGATTTTTTTTTTTTTTTTTTTTGAGCAATGCTGCATTACACAGACTCAAGCTGTGTAAATGCACTACTGTACCAAAAATGTTTTAAAGCATTGAGTAGTGTGATGGAGTGATGTCCCTCAGGGGCAAAAACATGTTAGAGAAAGACAGAATGACGTGGGACTCCTATTAACAGCACAAAAAAAATGTGTCCAAAGAAGTAGTGTATGGAAACTTCATCTATCCAAAGAAGGTTTATCTGTACTGGCAAGTTAATATGAAGATAGCAGGTACTGCATTAAGTATGCAGACCATGCTGGAATTAGACAGGTAGATGTGTTTTAAAATACACGGGCTGTTTTTTCATAACAACATGATTTCAAAGCAGATTTCTTATTGAGGGAGCCTGCCTTTCTTAAAAGTAGGCTATCTGGTTAATCTAAGATACCTACTTGGTCCAACTGTAATTAACTGTAATTAGTTGGCAGTGATTTCCCAGAGGGCAGAAGCACACTGATCAGCAGGCTAACTGCTCTGCTCTGGCTCAACACAGCTCCTGGAGGAGAGCTTCCCATGCAGTGTATCACTCAGAAAAACTTAGCTTGGATATCTAATGGATGGTAGATGGTAGGATGAATTGCGACAAACCTTTGCCAAAAGAAATAGCATTTTACATTCAAGCGTTACACAGAGAACCCAGAACATCAACCCCCAGTGCTGCCACAGTTTTTCACCCAGCTCTCATGCTGGCATCACTCCATAGTTTCTTTGGAATGAGGGAGGCGAAGGGGTGCCGTTGAGCAGCACGTACCTGTACGATTTCCAGCATCTCTGACTTACTGATGTAGCCGTTCCCGTCGAGATCGTACATGCTGAATGCCCACTTCAGCTTCTGCTCCAGTTTACCTCTTGATGTTACGCTCAAGGCTATGATGAATTCTCTGAAATCTATTGTCCCATCTCCATTGGCATCGAAAGTGCGGAATACGTGTTCCGCAAACTTAGAAGCGTCCCCATAAGGGAAAAAGTTCCCATAGATTTTTTTAAACTCCTCCATGGATAAGTGTCCACTCGGGCAGTCTCTCAAGAAGCCCTTGTACCACTCCTGGATCTCGTGTTCTGTAAAGTCTGTACTTTCTAGCAAATCTTGCATGACTTCAGGGCGTAGCTTGCTGTTTTGCTTTCCCATGTTGGTGTCCAAATATTACCTACAGAGGAAAAAAACCCTTCATTTTAGTTATAATAGTTATTAACATTTGACATTATTAAAAACAATTAGTTTGAAGGCTGCAAAAGAGCAGTGTGTTGGAGTTTTCTGACGATGGTTTGCACTTGGGGATCAACTGAAAATTTTTACAGCGTCTCCTACTACAAGTACTCTCTGAAAAAACTAACAAGCCTCTCCTACATGTTATTTATTTTGCACTTTCACAGCATGGAGAGCTGTTGTTGCACTGAATTTATTGCCATCCTACTTTCCCTTTTAAATCACCATGTAAGCAATGGATGATGTGAGTCGCATGCTGACTGATAGCTGTGTGCTGCAGCACATCCTCCAGCCAACCCAAACGGCTCATGGACCTTACCCCAAAAAGCTGCTTTCTATTTTATTTATTTATTTTTGTTGTTTATTTGCAGGCTGCTGCAAATAATTGTTTTTATTTGCTCCAAAATGGGATCAGAGTGCACCTACCAGGGGCACAGAAACCAGGAGCTCCAAAGAACTTCTCGACACATCTTCATGAGTCAGTCAGCACCACCCATACTTTGCCTCTCTTGTTTGGCATGGACCAATTCCCATTTGATTTCAAATGCAGATAAAATCTGGGAAGATTTTGTGAGTGGTGGATTCCCCTGCCCCAAACGATGAGGAGTTTTTGTATTCGTTTTTTTTTTTTTTTGGTTTGCTTGTATAAAATTCTCCTTGTAGCCAGAAAATGGAGTTATTACTGAGTAATAGTAGCCTGGGTGGTCATGACTCTTTGAAAATGAACCTTTTTTAAAAAAGGGAGAGGAAAAAAATGAAGCATCCAGACAACGAAATTGGAAATTCATTTTACTGAAATTAACCATTAAGAAAAAATCTTTTATCTCCACCTTTCAGTTAAATCACTTTAATTATATCTTATTTAAGGCAAGTTGCTACATATCGCACTGTGCAGCAGATTTACTAATGATTGAATCATAGAATCATAGAATCACTAAGGTTGGAAAAGACCTAAAAGATCATCCAGTCCAACCGTTCACCTATTCCCAATAGCTCCCACTAAACCATGTCCCTCAACACAACATCCAGCCTTTCCTTGAACACCCCCAGGGTCGGCGATTCCACCACCTCCCTGGGCAGTCCATTCCAGTGCCTGACCACCCTTTCTGAAAAGTAATACTTCCTCATGTCCAGCCTGAATCTCCCCTGCCGTAGCTTGAAACCATTCCCCCTGGTCCTATCACTAACGACACGAGAGAAGAGGCCGACCCCCAGCTCACTACAACCTCCCTTCAGGAAGTTATAGAGAGCAATGAGGTCTCCCCTGAGCCTCCTCTTCTCCAGGCTGAACATTCCCAGCTCCTAAAGGAGGTGTTTGGATTTTAAGTCTCAGAGTCTGAGTGTGCTGGCTCCAAAGGACAGCACCATCATTTTTCCTGGAAGGTTAGCATTATACCTGAACTGTGGGAAGATACGCTTTGTCTACAGAAATCTGCCTGAGAATTTATCAGGGGAATGACAGTCACAACTAAAATCTGATGTGTGGACAAGTTAAGTAGAATTGCAAAATAATTTATACAAGACTCCCACGCTGTTGTCAGAACAGAATCTCTGAGCTGCTGAGATGGATTTACGAACGATGCCTGGAGTGGCAAATGAATGTTCAGTAAAATGTCCTTTCTAGATCAAGATAATACTTCTAAAAAACATAGAATAAAACAGAATCATTAAGTGACAGTAGCAGCTAGTGAGAAATGTACTATTATTTGAAGCTCAGCTCCTGCCTCTCCTATGTGACACTAGGAAAGAGAAATAGGGGCTCCCCCTAACTGATGTTTATTACTTCCTGTGGAAAGAAGTTGAATTTGAATTCCTCAAGGCAGCTGGAGGACTGTCTCCTTTGTCTCCTATGTTCTTGAACCACAGCAACCTCAAAGCTTTATTTCTCAGAGATGAGATGGCGGAATCCATCTTAGATCTGTCCATGCCTCCACAGGCTCCACTAGCTGCATGTCTGAGCTCCTAGAGCTGACAGAGAGGATGCTCCCTGCTCATGGACAGGAGGCTGACACACTGAGGAGTCCTGCCTGCTGGGAGCTCCTCCATCTTCTGCCCACCTCCAGGATCTGCACAACTAGCTCAATCCAAATGATGTCTTTTCTTCTCAAGGGATCTCCAAAACACTTTGAAAGTGGAAGATGCTACCTCAAAGATAATTTTTTCCTGTTACTTTTCCTCCTGATGAAAAGCTACCATATAGTCCTTCAGTCATCTAAGATCTTAATACCCTGAAAATGTCAGAAATGTCCCTGTTCTGTAGACCCAGTCAATAGCTGAGTGTTGTGTTGCCTTCAGTGGGCATTGGTTGGGATCCCCACTAAACAGCATGGAGCAAGTAGAGTATACAGATCACATTAGACACACTTGTGCTAAGCAAAATGGCAGGAGCAGGATCTTCTGTACGGATAGAAAAGCACCTGGGCAAGTGAAACAGCAAGTCTTAGTTTAAAGCAGCATCAGTTTAGCAAAAGCAATCCAGCAAAATCCCACAGCAGTTAGCATCTACCCGTGCCTGCAGCCGCCCCACAGCCCCAGGGCTGCATGCTCTGCAGACGTTGGAGGGAGGGAAGATCTCTGAACCATGCACAAGCCAGCTGTAGTGTGAGTGAGCTGGCATTAGCAGCATAATCCCTTGCTGCTTTTTAATACCTCAAACATTTGAGAATGCAGAACTCAGCCTGCACACTTCCAGTCTGGAGTCTTATGAATATAGTATCCGGTCTCTGGCCTTCATGAGATACCCAACACTGAGTTTCAGACCACAAAACAATGCATTTATAGCTGATAATGCATTTTTATCAAGGAACTGAAAAAAAAATAGGATAACAGAATGCACTGCATTTTATTGGTAGCTGCAAAACATCGCCATCAGAAAGAAATCTGTTCTCCAATCATGAAGGGAGAACAAATAGTATGTAGTTCAGCAAGGGGCAGAAACTCATAGCCACTGTGATACCAGGCAACACAGTCAAAAGCCATAGAATTATTCTTGAGCCCACTTGCAATCAATTTGTTTCATGGTCCTTGCCCTCCAATTTGTTTGTTATTAATAGGTCCTGTTCTAGGAACCACAAATATGGGATTTATTGTGCCCATTCCATCAACAGCAGATCAAAATGCCTTTGCAACCAAGTACAGAAAATCCTTGAAGACACTCAAAGATCCTCATAATCACTTTGTAAACTGCTGCCTGCCTCTTCAGGATAGATTGCATTACGGGCAGAGCACAGTGAGCTAAGAGACTTCCAGTCAGCAATGGCAGCAATAAATGCAAGGAATGAAATAAATCTGAATCTGCTCAGGCATTTTCCCCATATTTTACCACCGCTTGAAGATCTCTCAAAGTTCTAATAAATTGTGAGGTGCAAATAATTAAAGCAAGTAAGTAGTGAATAGCAATCAGTGGCAAAGTAAAGCACTGACAATCCTGAAAAATAAATACTGGAGGTATACAAAACAAAGAGATTTGTTTTTTAATGATGATGTTTACTTGCAGTTTCTCCCTCTGATACAACAATGCTGGATTTAATGGATGTGAATGACTGCTGTGTGGGACAACATGACACAATAATATTGTGATGCCTTATTTCTGAGGCATCACAATTTTATTTGGCAAATTATTTGGTACTGGGGATGCATTTATGGCTGGAAAGGTCAATTTCATTCCAGCCCACAGAAGATCAGAAAGGAAAATGCCACTGCTGGGTGACTGCTATGAGAAGAATCTGTTTGCTGGTTACTGTAGGAAACGCATAGAGAATGCTCCATACATCAAATATTTAGAGCTAGGTCTAATCAGGCCTGGCTGTGAGATTTTTCACGAGACCGAAGAGAGAGCTTTTCAACCATCAGAATGCTATGGCAATTCCAAGAGAACAAACAGAAGTAGTGATGGGTTTCTCCAGGATCACCTTTCCAGGATCACCAGGATCTGTGCAGCACACTGCACGGATGGACATCGGCGCTGATCCAGCCTTCCCAAGCACAGCCCTGACTGGGCAACAAACCCTTCTGCTGCTTTTATTCCACTGTATTTTCTTTTGGAGCAGTATCTCAGAACATATTTTTGAAAGAAAATACAACTTACTACAAATCACACAGGGACCTCAAAAAATATTCATGCAGATTAAACTTCTCAGCCTTGCCGCTCTCAGTTTATCTGATGGTATTGGCAAACAGCAAGGAAATGGATAAAATTCACAAGCAAGATTCATAAAAAAAAATCTGACATTCTGTTATGAATATTCACAAGGAAGAGCAGTAAACAGATTTGCAGTGCGGCATAACAAGAACACCATGCCTAAAACACCCAGCACAGAGTAGAACTTTATTGTCCTCCAGCCCCCTCAAGGGGACCTTCCCCTGCAGAAAGTGCCCTTTGAACAGCACTCGCTTCTGGGTTTCCTGCTACAGCCCCCAAGAGAAACCAAGGACAAGAAGTGACAGCAAAACCTTTGCGGCTCTTCTTGAAGCGGGGTGGGCAGCCCAAGGAGGAGCAGCTGCACAGTGTTCATGAGATGCAAACTTGGAGACGCTTATGGATATTGAACATCAAAAGCCCAGGCTTTTATCCCTGCAGATTTACCCTTGCAGAGAAATGTTACAGCTGCTCCACATCATCTCCTGTTTCTTTTTATCATAATTCCTTCATGCATTTTAGCAATGAGAGCTGGAGAGGGGAGTGGGAAAGGACAAGGAGCAGAAAGGCACTGCCCCTGTCAATAAATGCTAATGCACTACCATCAGGATCTTCAGAATCAGTGGCAGATGCTAGATAAGAGCTCATCACGTTACTCTCAGCAATGCAGTGCTGTAGACACAAGCGCTCAGAGGGTTAATGCCCTTGTGCCCCCTTGCACAGAGCAGATGTCTGAGTCCAAACTGCTTCCTGCAAGGCTGAGCGTGTGGTACAGGAAGATATGACTAGGTGTATTTCTGCTA